CAATAATGATGAGGAAAATCTATAAATGCTGAGTACAGATGCAACTTTGTTTCAGATATTTTCAATCCACAGTTGGTTGAACCCACAGAAATGAGGGACAACTATATGCTTCATTAAGGCACTAAATTCATACTGGCTTGTTACAGATGTCATAGAAAACTGTCATCCTAGCCCTTAGTGCAGGGCACTAAGGATATATATAAAATGGATTGGTTTTAATCCAATTATTATAAACTTTAAAAACTCAAATCTGAAAGCAAACTGTGCCCAATACTCACCTCAGCATTTTTGCTTCCACACCACGCTGCTGTCAATCTTATAATCACACATGACTCTAAGTCTTTTTATATGAACTGCTAAAGACCAGCAAAAAGGAGTGACTTTATAAACTCCTAATTCAATAAAACTACTGATCTGATATTGCTTCTTTCCCCCTGAAAATTCCCAACCTACTTTAAGCCTTTTTAATCACCAAGAATCATGCCTACATCTTAAACTGCCCAGAGTAAGGGTACCTGAATGAACCAAATTTTTCTTACAACAGAATATTTTAAGTAAAATTTTTTATTAAAATACACTCAAGAAACAAATTAAGGCTTTCAAGTGGACTCACTCAAGTAATTACCACTGAGATGGAAACCTAAATGCCTCAGAAGTCCCTTCTCCTGTCCTTGTCATCAACTCCATCAAAAGGGGATCACTAGTCTGAATTCTACCACCATAGTTTAATTAATTCGTTTTGTCTGGTTTTGAAGTTCATATAAATGAAATCATGTAGCACCCTTTTACATCTGTCTCATTTCTGCTTGTCTATTAGCTCTCTGCTTGTAAGACTCATCCAGTTTGTTACATGAAGCAACAATTTGTTCATCCTCAGATAACAAATTGTATGAACAATTTGTTTATGTATTCACCAACTGTATACTGACAAAGCTGTGAATTGTTTCCAGCTAAGAGCACAAGAGTTCAGTTTATTTACAGCCTAATCAGCACTTAGCATGGACGGTCTTCTTAATCTTAGCCATTCTGGTAGTACGCAGTGGTAACCCCTTATCCCCTTAATTTCTGTTTTCCTAATTATAAATGCACTTTGTTTATATTGTCATGTTTATTGGAAGTGTGGAGATCCTCTTCAAAGTCAGCCTTGCCCATTTTTCTGTGGATCAGTCCCCCTTTTCCTGATTTTTAAATATTTTTTATCTAAAATCTGGGCATAGGTTCTTTATCTGGATATATATATTGCAAACACCTTCTTTTTATGCAATCTAGATGAGCCTAAGTTCTTGCAAATATTTTCCTTTATCAGCAGAACTTTTTGTGTCCCTGGATCATAAAGACATTTTGATTTGCTTTATTGCAGAAGCTTGTTTTAGCTTTCACATTTAAGTGTATGGTGAATCTTCATTAATTTTTTTTTTTTTTTGGCAGTACTGGGGTTTGAACCTTGGGTCTTATGCTTGCTAGATGAGCACTCTACCACTTGAGTCACTTCACCAGCTCTTTTTTTGCATTGTTAGTTTTGAGATAGGGTCTCACTTTATGCCCTGGCCAGCCTGGACAGTTATCCTATTTGTGCTTCTCTGCATAGCTGGGATGACAGGCACCCAGCTATCAGTTGAGATGGGGTCTCACAAACTTTTTTAACTAGGCTGCCCTTGAGCCACAATCCTCCCAATTTCCCCCTCCCAGGTAGCAAGGATTACAGCTATGAGCTACTGTACCCAGCTTTTCATTATTTTTTGCATATGGGATGAGGTAAATGAACAAGATTCATATTGTCCATGTGAATTTCCAACTGACCCAGAATCATTTACTACAAAAGCCATCCTTTCTGCACTGCACTGTCACCTGTCACAAAACAAGAGCTTACAGATGTGTAAGCCTGTTTATGGCTTCTCTATTTATTCCCCTGCTCTCTACAGCCTTGTGTCCATGCACACTACACAACTACGTACTGATTTAGTAGCTGAAGTCTTCCAACTTGCTCTTCGTACTTTATCTATTTCCAAATAAATTTCAGGATCAGTTTATCAATTTCCATTTTCAAAAAAAAATCTCCTGGGATTTCACTAAATCTCTAAATTTATTTGGAGAACAATGGCATATCCTTCACTTTTATCAAATATTTTTCTCCTTTATTCTGCGTCTGGGGGTAATCGCATTTATTGGTTTTCTTTTTTTTATTTAATTTTTTTATTTCTTTTATTCATATGTGCATACAATGTTTGGGTCATTTCTCCCACATTTATTGGTTTTCTAACATTAGACAAAGCTTACATTCCTGGAATAAATCCAAGTTGGTCATGTTTTATTCTCCTTTTAATAGATTGTTAGATTTGATTTGCTAAATATTGCTTTGAGATTTTTCTACTTTTTCTTCTGAGCACTTGGCCTATATTTTTCCTGTAATGTACTCCTTTAGTAACAAGGATATGGTGACCTCATAAAAGCAACCAGGGAATGATCTCTTGGAAATTCTCACTAGCGATGTCATCTGGACCTGGAATTTTGTTATGGAAAGGTTTTTAACTACAATCAATCTCTTTAATAAATATGGGGTGATTCAGATTTTCTAGTTCTTGTGTCTTAGAACTTGCTACTTGAAAAACATGCCCATTTCATCAGAATTTTCAAGCATATCACCATAAAATTGCTCATGGTAACATCCAGAGGTCTTTTAAATATATGTCACATGTCACCATCAACTCCTGTTTCTTCCCCAACACTAGTAAATACCATATGCATCTCAAGTTCATTTACACCCACAGGAAGAGGACTGTTGTGCACTATAAGACACAGGTCCACTGTCACAAGAATATGCTCCAACCCGTTACCCACGGAAGCAACAGAGCAGGTGGGGTATGCAATCCAGCAATTCCTTCTCAAGCACTTTTATCATTAGAAACAATTGTGAACTTGAGCAAAAAAAGAGAGACCCTGTTGATCAGCAATATGCTGTGGTGCCCAGCAAGAACACAGAAGGAAAGCAACCTCCAAGCAGGTGGTGACCTAGGACACCCAGTCCTCACCCCAAGACACCCAAGGCAGAATTCAGGGGGCCAAAAGTTCATTCATTTTTTTCCTCATACATCTTTCATGAATCTCTAACTGAAAATTAGTATTTCCTTGGATTATAAATGCAGAAAATAAGTTGCAGTAAGAGCAGTTCTGATAACTCTGTCATCAATTAAAAGAAAATCACAGCTACGTTCCTATCACAACACAGCTGTTGCAAATACTGCAAAATATCATTTACATGGGCACCATCACTTTGAAATTACAGAGTTAATTGCTTCAGCACCGAATTTTGCTGCTTAATGCATTAAGAAGATCATATTCACAATTTTCAGGGATTTTAATATTACTTTGATAACTTTCTTCTTTTGCCATACATACACATACAAAAGGTTAATAACCCCTTAGAAGGAACCATGAATTTCACCCAAGGCAGGGGAGCCCAGTGACCATTTAAGGAGCATCTCCCCTTGGGCCAGGCCAGGAGCTGGAAGCAGGGGGGCACACGGGTGAGGAAGGCTCATGCTGACCAGTTTTTGATGTCACCTCCAGAGTTCCCACCACCTGTCCACCATCTGTCCGTGACCGCTTCATGTCTGTAGAGCAAGCACCGCCCCCCCAGGCTTTCTTTACTACCCTGTGAAAAGGGATAACACTACCTATCTTTCCAGTTACTGCTAGGCTTAGAAATAACCTATTGAAAGCACCTGACAAGTTCGGTTCCCTAAAGTTATTATTAATTGCATTTCTCAGATCAAAACTGTCCTTACCCAACACTTAATCACAATAAAGCCTGCCAGTGAAAAAGAAGAGAGAAAAATCATAGGGAAGATGGAACATGAAGAGAAGGGAAGGGAAGGCTAGAAGCAGTGGCACACACCTATTAGAATTCCAGCTACTCAGGAGGCAGAGATTGGGAGGGTGGAAGGTGGAGCCCCACCTGCCCAAAAAGTTACCAAGAATTCCCTCTCCCTCCCCATCTCAACAGATAAGCCTGGCATGCTGAGGCACCGCTGTAATTCCAGCTATGCATGAGGTATAGGTAGAAAGATCACTGTCCAAGGCCAGCCCTGGGCAAAAATGTTAAGACTCTACCTGAAAAATAACTAAAGCAAAAATGGATTGGGGATGTAGCTCAAGTGGTAGAGTGCTTGCCTAGCGATTTGAGTTCAAATCCAAGTACCACCAAAAAAGAAAAAAAAAAATAGAAGGAAAAAATCGTACTTCAAAGTTCAGTATAGAAAATGACCACCTAAAATGAAGCCTTCCCTCTCCTCTATGTTCCTAGAGAACATAATCATACTGAAGTAGGTGCTTAGCTCTGAGAATGAATGGCTGCGAAATACGAAACAGTAAGGAACAGAAACAACCGGCCTCAACGTCACGTAAAGCAAACCACCAGCAGCGATGACAGCCCCTGGCCTGACAACCCGGACCCAAGAGCAAGGAACACAGCGATCGTTCTATTTCTCAACATCAGTGCCGCCCCCCTCCCGGTTCCTTGGGGGAGGATGGGCTTCCCCCACAGAGACTGTGTCACCTGAAGGCTCGACTCAGAACAGATGAGGGAAACTGAGTCCAGAGAGTAGAAAACAAGAGAAAGCTCAAACTCTGGGGCCCCTGGGGGTGGCAGCACCAGGCAGGCAGGCGCACGTCCAATGCAGCCAGGAGGACAAGAGTTTGCGACTCCCGGCAGCAGTGACGGAGCCTGGGGACAAGGCCCGGGCGCGCGGCCGCAGGCAGGGGCGTGCGTGGACTGGGATCCCGAGCGCCGGGACTCGCCGATCCCCGCGGGCGGGCGCAGGGTGCGCGCAGCCCCGGCAGCCTTTGTCTCCTGGGCGGGATCGGGAACTTCCCTGTCCCGCCCGGGGGCGCGCACACGGGAGCTGGGGTGGCACAGGGAAAAGAGTCTGGTGCATTGCTTTTTCCAAACGAAGCACGACAATCAGCCTCCCCAGGACCCCCTTTGGCCACCAGCTACCAACCTCCGGGCTGTCCCGGGCGGCGGCGACGTTCACGCTCGCCACGAGCTCCCAAAACCCCTCTCTGGCCACTTCCGAGTCCCGGAGGCGCGGGCTTCCCGGACGCCGCCCTTTGGAAGAGCTGCGCCCGCGCGCGGCCTCGTGCGCGCGCCCCCTGCCGATCCCGCGCGCGCGCGCCCCAGATCCTGTCCCCTCGGACGCCCCGGGGAGGGCGCGCTACTGGGGGCCGTCTGCGCGCTGTCCCGCCCCGGATCTCACCGCCACCCAAGCTCCTTGTACAGGGAAAGGGGGCGCTGACTGTGGGGTCATGGTCCCTCGAAGTCACCTGAGACCCGAAACGGGCCATGAATCCAGCACTATTGGTCTCCACCTAGGTTTTGTAGGTGGCAGGAGGGGGCGGGGGGGGGGAGTAGGAAAAGGGCGGGCTTTGCAGTCTGGCCGGGTGAACTTAGCCCCTGGGAGCCTCCCCGGCCTCCTCTGTCAAACAGAAAGGAGCGTCCCTGCTTTTCCTTGCAAATCAGAGCCGGGACCCAACACGAATAACTGCGTGGATTGCAAAGTGACTTACAGAGATCGCAGCCGCGAACTGTCCAACGAAGATTTTGAGTGCGTGGTAAAGCGGAAGATGTGAAGGTGCCCCAAAGAGTGGAATTACGGACAGGGCTTTATGGAGATGCTCAGAGGCCTCCCATGCCAGCCAGGGAACTGATCGCCGGAGTCCCACGAATTTATACGATTCTACCACCTCGGCTTTCATTAAAACCTCGGGCTTCTGGATTCTTCCTCAAACCAAAGGAATGAAGCTCCAGGGGAGGGGCGGCTCAGGTGGTTTTATGATAAGGAAAATAATGGCTTCACCCCACCTGCCTCCAGCCACAGAGAAACACAGAGGCTGTGCTCTAAGAAGTTGAATCTAGCAGTCACTGTAATGGCAGGGATTATATTTCTGATTGTAAAATTCAGTGGAAAACTAAAGGGGAGTGGGGGGAGTCCTGCTAAATTGCTGAGGCTGGCCTCGAACTCACCATCCTCCTGCCTGGATTACGGGAATGTGCCATAAGGAAACCAGAATTTGAATTCTATGAGAACTGGAACCATCTTTTATTTCACCTCCCCCTGCCCTCTCCTCCTCCTACAGACCAGTGTTCAGCAAGCAGGTGTTACTAAACTAGCCCCAAGTGGGAGAGCCAGCTTAAGCAAATAAAAATACAGGATTCACAATTAAAATTGGATTTCAGATAAAAAACGAATAATTTGGGACCCATTTAAATTACCTGAAACTCAAATTTAACTTGGTTTTTAAATCTGGTGACTGTAGGTCCAAAGGTTAGACAGAGGCTCCACCACACCTGGCTCCAAGTGTTATTTTTTAAAATATTATTACAACTAGATTTAACACAATTAATAAAAAAAAAAGAAAAGAAAAACCATTGGAAGATGAGTGTGGATAACCAAGGCACATGAATAGGTAACCCACTAAAAAAAGAGGAGGGAAATGGGAAACAAATATATTGCAAAATACTTCAAAGAAATGCATAGCAAAATAGGAACACACAACTTTTCACATAGAAAGTTGGCACAACTGATTAATGACATTAAAGGCTGGGGACTCCGTGGTAGTGCTCACATGATCCCTTAGGTGGGTGAACAACTCAGCAATCAAAACCCTTAAAACTTATCAAAAATCCTTAAAAACACTCAAACATTTTGACTTCTAATTCTATCGATGAGAGTAAATCCAAAGGAATAGAAAATACTTTTTTAGCTATATTGAAGTATAGTTGACAAAAATTGTATATATTTAAATGTATATAACTTGATGTTTTGATAAGTGTATACATTGTAAAAAGTACCACAATCAAGCTAGTTAGCACCCATTATCTCACATGGTTAATGTGTGTGTACATATATGTGTCTGTAGAATACTTAAGATCTAGTCTGGCTGGGTGGCAGCAGCTCACACCTATAATCCTAGCTATTCAGGTGGCAGAGATCAGGAGGATTTGCAGTTCAAAGCCAGCCCAGGCAAATAGTTCTCAAGATCCTATCTCGAAAACACCCATCACACACACAAAAAAAGTGGGTTGGTGGAGTGGTTCAAGGTGTAGATCTTGAGTTCAAACCCCAGCACCAAAAAAAAAGAAAGGATCTAGTCTCAGCAAATTTCAAGTCTGCATTGTGTTATTAACTATACTCACCATGCTGGACAGAACTTATTCATCCTGTAACTGCAACTTTGTACCCTGGAACCAACCTGTCTCCATGTCCCCAATTCATTCTATTTCCATGAGTTCAACTTTTTCAGATTCCACGTACAGGTGCAATCATGCTATATTTGTCTTTCTGTGTCTGACTTATTTTACTTAGCATATGTCCTGCAGGTTCATCTAGTTGTCACAAAATGTCAGGATATTCCTTTTTTTGAAGGCTGAATAATATACCATTGTATTTATATACCATAATTTCTTTATCCATTCATCTGTTGTTAGACATTTGTACTGTTTCTGTTTCCATAGTTGGACTACTGTGAATAATGCTAGGAAATAATGTTTATGAGCAAAGATTTTAATTTTCATTACTGTACACAATTATGGCTTGTTAATCAAAAATAAAAACTTTATAAGAAGAATATTTTAATCTTAATTTGTACCATTTTAACTTATACCATAACAAGAAAATGTACCAGAATATAGCATAACAGAGGGGAAAACATTTCAAAAACTCCATAATTTTTCAAAAATAGGGAAATGGAAATTCAGTTCAAACTTACACACTCTGTTGTATTTTACAGATACAGCCTTCTGAAACAATACTCTCCGTTCATACGGAGTAGCATCCTATGCATGGAAAAACTACTACATATGACTGGAAAGGAAATAAGGTTTTATTTAGGTAATAGGACTTGCTTTATTCTTAATTTTTCCATATTTTTACTGAGTGTAAATTAATTTTTCATAGAAAAAATATCAATGTGGTACTCCCTAAAAAACAAGCAAAATTTTATAACCATTGTGTTAGGTTTCTGTTGCTATGACGATATACATAAGATAATGAACTTTAGTGGAGTAAAAGTTTATTTGGCTCATTTTTGGAGGCTTCAGTTCATGGACAGTTGGCCCAGGCAGCACATCAATGTGGGGAGCACCTGGGGAGCACCTCGTGGTAGCCAGGAAACAGAGAAAGGAATGGACTAGGGTCTGAATATTCCCTTCAAGGGCATGCCCCCAGTGACCTAACTTCCTTCCACTAGGTCCCATCTCTTAAATGTTCCACCAGCAGCATCACAGGCTGGAGATCAAGAGTGGTGGTGCTTTCTGTAATCCCAGCACTTGGGAGATAGAGGCAAGAGGGTCTCAAGTTTGAAATCATCTTAGGCTACACAGCAAAACCCTGTCTCAAAAAAAAAAAAAAAAAGAGCCTTGGGGAACATTCAAGATCCAAACTTTAGCAACCACAAAGTTAGTTTTATGAACGCTAGATCTTACCTTACACAACCCTTTACCCAATACCTTTACTGAATGCTATCACTTTGTGAATATTAAAAACTCCTTAAACTAGTTCCTCTAAATATAAACTCCTTTCCAAACTCTGCATGTTATCTGTCAACTTAGATTACTATCCTTAGCAAATTCTGAGTTCTGCACGGAATTGATAAAATTAGTCATTTATGTAGCTATATACTAATTAAAGTGCCTTAAGTAGTTTATTAAATTCAGCAAATCACATGAAGACTTGGGTTTTTCTCCCTTGGGATTAAATTCTAAAAGACACCAACTGAATATCATAAACAACTTTTTTTGTGATTGTAGTAAGATACGCATAACATAATATTTACCATATTAACCATTTTAACTGTACAGTTCCACAGTGCTGAGTACACTCACCTTGTGTGCAACTCCAGATTCCTCATCTTGCAAAAGGAAAACTCTTAAACAACTCATTCTCCTCTTCACTCCAGTCCTTGACGACCACCCTTCTTCTCTGTGTCTCTGGTACCACATGTAAAGTAGAATCATACAGAATCTGTCCTTCTGTGACTGGTTTATTTCACAAGGCAAATGCCTTTAATGTTCATCTGTGTTATAGCATGTGTCAGAATTTCCTTCCTTCTTACGGCTGATAACATCCCATTGACTATATTTATCCATCCATCCATTGATGGACACAGACAGGTTGCTTATACCATTTGGCTATTGTGGATAATGATTACATAACATGGATATATAAATATCTCTTTGAGATCTTGCTTTCAGTTATATACCAGAAGTAGAATTGCTGGATCATATGGTAATTCTATGTCTAATTTTTTTGAGGAACTGCCATATTGTTTTCCAATGAGCCTGTGTCTTTTTATATTCCCACCAACACTGCACAAGGAATGTCCCCATAGCCTCACCAGCACTTGTTACTTTTCTAGTTGGTTTGTTTCTATAGTAGCCATCCTAATGGCTGTGAGGTGATAGCTCATAATTTTGATTGGCATTTCCCTGATGATTAGTGATGCCCATCTTTTCATGTGCTTAACAGTCACTGATCCATGTTCCATGGAGAAATGTCTAAGGGAGTTCTTTGCCCACTGTTTTCAGTTGTGATCTGTTGTTTTTGAGTTCCTGGAGGATTTATACATCCTGGATGAAATTTACCCTTTATTAGATACATGACTTGCAAATATTTTCTCCCTTTCCATGGGTTGCCTTTTCAATGTATTGATTCTGTTTTTTGATACACAGTTTTAATTTGTATGAAGTCCAATTTATCTATTTTTTTGTTTGTTGTTGGTGCTTTTGATGTTGTAGCCAAGAAATCATTACCAGATCTCACATGCAATGTCATGAAGTTTTCCCCCTGTTTTTCTTCTAAAAGTTCTACAGATGTAGTTATTATGTGTTTGTTATTTCAAGTGAGTTTTGTATATGGTCTAAGGTAAGGTTCCAATTTCACTCTTTTGCATGTATAAATCCAGCCTTTCCTCACCCTACTTTTTGAAAAGCACAGACATCTTTTAAAGGTCAGAGTTTGGAGTGGGAGGAATGGATTGTGGAAAACTAAGTTCCTTTTGGAAGTGAGTGAAAAGAGAATTGGAATAAACCAATGTCAATGTCTAAGCACCAGGAAAGTATTGGGTTTTGAGGAGTGAGTAGAGAGAAGGGGGAAGGGCAAGAAGGGAAGATTTTCCTCTCTCTTTTCAATGTGTCACACAGAGGCAGAAGTGCCTAGCCTTCAAAGATCTGTGCTGTCTTGAAGCAGTCAGGCATCTGACCAGACATGACCAGAGCTGCCCTGGCTTAAAAACTAACTGCTCTACTGACCATAGACACAAAGACAGGGAGAGTCCTTCCTGGAAGT